AGTTGCGGTTGTATAAATCTTTTTCAGTTTAATATCTTACTTTCTTAGAGATATCTAATAATTAGAATAAAAAGGATGTTTCTTAGAAGATTTAACTTGAATAACTTTGATTTTGATCAAACTTAAGCACATCATTCGAACTTCAAGCTAGTCCACCAAATCAAAGGTTAGTTAGACAAATTACGTTCAAATGGTCCAACACACGACAATGAGATGTGACTTTGACCACACAGACGCACATGAAAATAAAACTACCAAAAAAACAAAACAAAATGGTTATATACTCAAATGTAGGTACCAAAAGAATAAAAAGATCAAAAATCGACCCGTTTTTCCTTCATAAAAAACAAAAAATTAAGAGAAAGTACAAACTTGTGGAATCCACTTTCAAAACAACCAGATAAAATGAGCCAAATAACATGGAATTTCTGTCACATACAGAATTCCAAACCCTGATTAAAGAAAGAAGAAAAAAAAAATTAATAATCTGACAGTAAATATAAGACATCCATAACCAAAGACGGTTGTCTGTCATGGTTGGCTGAGCTTTGTACAGATTTATGAACCACTTTAAATAGTCTAGTCATATTCACTACCACCCACACTCTTTAATTTCTTCACCAGCTTCCTTCATACCTTTTATCTAGAAGTTATTACTCCATTTTTTTGTTAAAAAAAAAAAAAAAAAACGAAAAGATAAAGAGAAAATTGTTATAAAGTGATGAAATAAATGCTTAAAAAGCTTCAAAGATTTAGTTGAATTTTACTCTTTTAATAACCCAAGATTTGAATTAAGCAAATTGTGTGTGTATGGGGTAGAAGGTATTTATTGGGCTTAACAAAGCTCTGATTAACTTCACGTGTAGACTCGTCCATGTGTCCGTGAGTCTTTACAAACACCTACTTCAAGAAACACACACATACACACACAGGAAGCCAGATCAGATCCATTGCATAATCTCTCTGTTTCAACTCAAGAACCAGTTCCCATGGTGGGTTTTGATTCTTGCTTTGTTTCTTCTTCTACTGTTTTTGTGTTCTTGAAGATAAAAAGATGTGGACTTTTTCGGTCAAATCGGAAACCCTTCGATAATGACATTTAATTTGGGGGGAATTTTGTTAAGGGCCCCTTTTATCTCTCTCTCTCTCTCTCTTTCTTTCTTTCTTCCCCAATCATTCATCTATTCATTACCACAAAAGGAAGAAAGAAATCGCTAGATTTTGAGCTGTTTCTCCCCATTTTCAATTAATCTAAGCGAAAAGGTAAGTGTCTTTTTGTATGGATCTTTAATTGAAAAAACCTTTTGGGATTTGCTTTCAAGGAGTTCAAATACGCACCCAGATGAGATGAGGCGAAATGGGGGTGTTTTCTTCGTTTGTTTGGTTTTTTTGTGCTTTGAATGTGGATTGAGTGATGATAGAGAAGCACTTTTGGCGTTGAAATTATCGATTGATCCGTCGAATTCTCTTCAATGGAATGGAACCGATTTCTGCCAATGGGAAGGAATTAGAGAATGCTTGAGAGGCAGAGTGTCGAAACTTGTTCTTGAAAATGTGAATTTGAGAGGGACATTGGATTCAAGGAGTCTTAATCAGTTGGATCAGATTCGTGTTTTGAGTTTTAAACAAAACTCCATTTCTGGTGAAATCCCAGAGCTTTCTGGATTGCCGAACCTCAAATCACTCTACCTTTCTTACAACAACTTCTCCGGCGAGTTCCCGGCGTCTCTCACCACCCTTCACCGCCTCAAAACCATTGTGCTCTCAGGTAATCGTCTTTCCGGCGACATTCCTGACTCGCTGCTCAATGTACAGAGACTGTATATTCTTTACTTGGATGACAATAGATTCACAGGAAAAATCCCACCTTTGAATCAGAGTGGGCTAAGATACTTGAATTTGTCAAGCAACCAGCTTTCCGGCGAAATCCCGACGACTCCAGTCTTGGGTAGATTCAACTCGACGTCATTTACCGATAATGTTAATTTATGTGGCGATGCGTTTGGTATCCCATGCACTTTTGCTCCATCCCCGTCTTTTAGTCCGGCGAATCCGACCCCACCCAGCACAAGCAAATCGCACAATCGCCGGAAAATCAAGAAAATAGTTATAATAGCCGGTTCGGTTGGTGTGTTTTTGTTATTATGTGCTGTAATTGCATTGTTAGTTATCTGTTTGAAAAAGAAGCAAAAGAAGGCGCCGGAGGTGGGAGCAAAAGGAACTGAAGCAGTCTCGGCGTTGGGTGGTGCTGGCGGAGGCGCGGCGAGCAGTAGTGGGAAAAATGGGGGAAGTGGGTTGACACCAGAAGGCGAAGAAGGTGGTGGGATGGGGAAATTGGTGTTCTTTGGTGGTGGAGATATGCCGGAAATGAGTTATAGTTTGGAGGATCTGTTGAAAGCGTCGGCGGAGACGCTGGGAAGAGGTACGGTGGGGAGCACGTACAAGGCGGTGATGGAGTCGGGTTTTATCGTGACGGTGAAACGGCTGAAAGACGCTAGGTATCCAAGGGTGGAGGAGTTTCGGAGACACGTGGACGTCATCGGAAGGCTGAGACACCAAAATTTGGTGCCTCTCAGGGCTTATTTCCAGGCTAAAGAAGAACGCCTTCTCGTATACGATTATTTCCCCAATGGCAGCCTTTTCTCTCTCATCCACGGTATGTTCCTTCGCCTAACATATTATTTAAATTTTAATTGAAGTTAATTTATCTTTAATTCCTAAAATAACAACCATCTTGCTTATAATAGTTTACAAATGCCCCCGAAGGCCTGAAGTGAACTTAATATGTGCAAAACTTTTAAATTAAAAATAAATTGTTTTTCCATATAGATTAAATAAATTAAACTATTATTAGTTACAATGTGATCATAATTTTTTAAAAAAAAACGTCAATATAGAATAGCTCCCGCTAGAAAAAAATAATATTTATTTCGATTTTGGAAATCGGAGAGTGACGAAAACTTTGAATTTGTGGGTAGGAAAGGTCGGGATCCATGTCCTAGTTTTTAAACAACCGACAACGTTATCTTTTATATCTATTATTATTTTTTTTGAATTAGAGAAAATGAATAGGATAGATTTGACAACCGAAATTATTGCTAGCCGATTTTTCTAGTAACAATCAGTTTTGAATTTTGATTTTGAATGCGAAATTGTTCATTGTTATTGCAAAATTCATATTTCTTACTAAAAAATAAAGTTTTTTGCGGTGGGGATCTTAAAATCTCAATTACTTAGCACAAGCAAAAATTTGTGATCCTCTCTCTGTCCTTACATATAGCTGCCAGTTTCAGAAATTGGTCAATGTCTTCCACAAAAACAAAAGTACAAAGTACAATAATATTTCATAAAATGGTCCCTGTATTTTACAAAAGGTAGAAATGGTCCTCATGGTTCACAAAATTACATAAATGGTCCCTATATTTTACAAAATTACAGAAATTGTCCCTGTATGGTAGTAAAGTTTCAAATTGTCCCTGCGATTTACAAAGTTACATAAATGGTCTCTGTTTGATAGAAAAATAATAGAAAGGCCCTTATGTTTTATGAAATTACAGAAATGGTCTATGTCTATACCAAATCTATAGAAATGTTCTTTGTGTTTCACAAAATTTACAGAAATGGTCGAAATAAATGCTATTTTGTTGAAAAAAAATCACATTTCCTTCATGTGGCAATTTTTGTGATGTTTTCTAAATTTTTTGTATTTAATTGTTGTATTATACCATAACTTGATACTCAACCCACTTAGTGGTACTGGATTTTTCGTTTAAAAAAATGGGTGTGAATTAAAGTATATTGTAATTTTATGTAGAAAATATATTAAATACAACACCAAATTGGCCAGAAAACCGGACCGAAGTAAACCGGTTCATTACCCGTTTGGTTTTGTAACACTTTGTTTAGAATCACTAAAATCAATATATATATATTTTATAATTATTTTACAGGATCAAGAACATCAGCCGGTGGAAAACCTCTTCATTGGACATCGTGCTTAAAGATCGCCGAGGACTTAGCCACCGGACTTCTTTACATCCACCAAAACCCCGGCCTCACCCATGGAAACCTCAAATCCTCCAACGTCCTTTTGGGCTCTGATTTCGAATCTTGCCTCACAGATTACGGTTTAATGTCATTCAGAAACCCTGATTTCCCTGAAGAATCAAGCGCCTCCTCTCTCTTCTACCGGGCCCCGGAATCCAGGGACCCACGAAAACCCATCACCCAACAAGCAGACGTCTACAGCTTCGGCGTCCTCCTGTTAGAACTTCTCACCGGAAAAACTCCATTTCAGGACCTTGTTTTGGAACACGGGTCAGACATCCCTAAATGGGTGAAATCCGTAAGAGAAGAAGAAACCGAATCCGGCGATGAACCCACTTCCTCCGGCAACGAGGCGGCAGAGGAGAAACTGGCGGCACTTCTGAACATCGCCATGGCTTGTGTCTCGATTGCGCCTGAGAATCGACCGGTGATGAAGGAGGTGTTGAGGATGATTAGGGAAACGAGAGCTGAAGTGGCTCATGTGTCGTCTAATAGCAGTGATCATTCACCAGGAAGATGGTCGGATACTGTTCAGAGCTTACCCAGAGATGAACATTTGAGCATATGAGATTCATTGGTTGTGTTTAAGGAGAGTTTTAATTAAATTTCATTCGTGAATTTGTGTAGGGGGTAAAGTTTTTCATTTTTATTATTATTATTGATTGGTACTGTAATTGTGTGATAATTTTAATGATACCGATGACTTCTCAAGAGTTAAGCAAAAATGTAACTTTTAGGTTTGACTTAGAAAACAAATCTTTCAATAACCCAATCAATCATTTTAGCTTTTTCCAAAAATGGCATATTTCTACAAGTTTTGGTATCGTCCGACTTGGACACAAAGAGTCAATCGATACATCAGATATATATATGAAATACACCCAAAAAGGTCAAATCTGTATATAATTTACAACAGGTTTAAATCTATACTTACAACCAAATTCTTCTTCAGCTCAATAATCTGGTTCTTGCTTCATACGCATTCTGCTTGATGACCCAAACGTCATTGTCTATCATCATCAAGGAGTAACAATCATTTAGTCTATCATACAACATCACATAATAATTTATAATGTGTTCGGAATGGATTAGATGGGGACTGATGAAAACAAGACAAAATTTGCAAAAATTGACCCGAGATGGGGACTCATTTTGGATCTCTAGTTTGTACAAAAGACGAGAATACCCCTAAAGGCATGAAAAGAAAGCTACCTGGCTTGTAGTAGGCAGAATAGTATTAGCAAGATCTTCATTTAGTGATACAGGCAGTGGTGGCCCTGGCATGTATCTCATGCTACAAAAAAAAAGAGAGAGAAGATAAGCAAAATCCATCAAAGTTTTGACTTGAAAAAGTAATATGTTTGACTCTTTAAAATCAAAATTGGAGTGTTATGATTTTGTGACTTACTCGTTTAAGATGGTAGTTATGTTGTTCTTGGCATGGCTAAAGAGGTCAACATTGTCCTGTAGCTGTCATTATTAGATGTTATATAATATAAAAACATTAGCCTGAAATAACAAGTTTGTTAAACATAACAAATTCAAAACTCAAAAACACTACTTACCTTGAGTGCAGAAATATTAGCTGAAATCTGACCAAAAACTTGTTTGTTTTGTTCCAAAAGATGCCTTGTGGACAAGCTTGTCGCTGAATAATTCAATCAAAGTAGAATCAAATCAATAATATCCTCAAGACCTTCAATTAAATACAATTTTTAATCTACAAATGATACCAACCTTCAAAAGGAATGCCACCACTCTGGAATCGGTTATTCATGGTAACTGAAAATGGAGCCACATTTAAAGTTGTAATTGAGGATACACTTGGCTTTGATGATGATTCCATCAAATTATCCTGGAAAAACACGACAATTTAGAATGCTGGTTTATTTTATCAGTTGGATGGAATTGAATGATTAAGGAATGGAATAAGCAAGGTAATGGAATGAGCATTACATTCCATGATCATGTTTGTTACTTTGGCCTATACGAATGGAATGAATTTTTTATATTGTATGTTGACTCTAGATGTATTCTACATAATATTTTAATTACAATCAATAGACTTTTATTTTGCATACACATACCTTCTTATCTTTTAACTTCTTTCCCATCTTAAGTTCATCAAGTTTCCTTCGTTTTCTCTGCCAAATATCTCATCTTAGTAACCTTCTAAACAAGGAAGTTCAATAATTTATTATTTATCAAATGCATCTTCAAGTTTCCACTCTTGTTTTGGTAAATTTTACTAAAAAACACATGTCATTTTTTTTTCAAACAGTCTTACTTTTAATAAAGATTTCCATCTAACTTCTAAACACTTTATTGCACTTTAACGAACTCTAGTTATTGCTATTCCTCGTTCACATATATGTGTAAAGTAATACTTTTCAAAAAGAAGCACTCTCTTGGGAACATGTTGCAATTTAACTTCTAAGTTCATGTAACGGATGTGTCTTTTAACATGTTTATTTTAAAAAAATAAAAAGAAAGGTTTGATTGTTAGGTAAATATCTAAAGTATCCCTTCTATATTTTGACAAAATGAACGAATCTTATGGACCAAAATTAATGTTTATGAATATTTTGTGATGATTACTACTTACTAATGCTCCAGAGAAGTAAATCTTGAGTTTATTTTGGGAAATTACATAAATAAACTTCTCCTTGAATCTCAGCATATACCTCAATTATGATCCTTCATAGCCCTACAAATGTATTTTTATTATCCTTCTGACCTTCTTGATAACTATGATACTATGTTCTTATGTTAAATTTATTTTTTATTTTTTTTAATGTTAACCAATATATCAAGAAAAATATAAATTAGAAGCTCACCGTCATCCACCTACACCTCAGGGCAACATCACGAACAGTTTTATCACGCAATGTAGCAGCAATCTTGATATACCTCATGATGCTCGGTTCATCACCATATCTACATATATATATCCAACAAATCATAAGCATATAAATCAAGAAAATTAGTTAGATTAGAAATTAAACGTGAATCTTTATAAACTTGGAACAAGATACTTACTTGGAAATTCCTTCCTCCAATTTATACTGTTCTTCAACAGACCACTCTACAGCCAAACCTGCGTCATGCTTCAACCCTGGGATTGAAGTATCGGAAAGAGAAGAAGCGCTAGAAGTCCTAACTTTTGCGAATCCTGAACTGTTGTTTAACATGCCAGAATTCGCAGAAAACATTATGTCTGGTGTAGTAGTGGTGTTATTCATCCGATAGTAATCACCCATCATAAGCATCTCAGTTGTGCTGTTAATCGCACTTGTTTGGAATGATATGGCGTGTCGATTCAGAGCAGAGCTCAAAGCTTGTTCATGGTGAAAACCCGTATCCATGACTTGTGTGCCAGTACGCGATTACTACGCTCTGCTGCAAAAAGAATGTATTTATAGATGAATCTATGGATAAGAGTATTGATTCGGAAAAAGGGTGTTGAATTTATGTAGCGTTGAGTTTGCAAAGTGAGAGAATCTGGTAACTATTGTTTGTTACCCCAAAAGTTAAACCCTAGATTCCTCACATACAAATCGAAATTAGGCCTCTCATTGAAAATCACAAACACCAACCTTCAATTAATCCGAAACTCGTAAAACATCGAACGTAGAAGCGCTAAATTAGTGCTGGAAATAGCTGTTTTACGAACCCCAAAAGAATAAAAAATAACATCCACGGAAAGAAACCTTCATATCCGAAATCTTCAAGTTACATCATTGATTCATCATCAAAATCCCATAAGGCGATACTGATAACGACGAGTAACGTAACCATGTACGCAGAGATTGATAAAGAGAGAAGGGCTTTCTAAATGTCTCAACTTTTGAAGAAGGGATGCTCTGATTGGCTGTTTGTGTTGCCTTTTACACGCATCACTCAGTCACGACGCAAACTGCTGCTACCTTCATTTGCTTTTGGGTGCTTAGAGCACAGGGACGACGCACTTTTGGTGTCTACTTAGTGGTGGAGGGTAAAATAACATGGGAAGAAGGGTTTTGGCCAATGGGAAAACAGAGGTGGGGGTGGAAGTTGAATGAAGTTTTTCTGTTTGAAGCTTTTTTAAGATTTTTTGGTCGCGCAGATCTTGGAGTTGAGCAAAAGTGCGAATCCCATTAGGCAACTTGATGCTACACTTGTCACAATTCCACCCAATGCCCAAGATGATGATAGGAGTACTATGGTTTCTATCAAATTTAATACTTTGTCTACTAAATTTTGGTTACTTTACAAAAATCTAATAGTTAGTTTTATAATTTTTTTAACATATAGTAAAAATGATAAATTGTATTATTGTTATCACATGCTAATAGAATTTGATGAATATTGTGACCACCGATAGTGAAGAGAGTATGTTTCATTCAGAACCAAAACTTTATCATATCCATAATCCATTATTCAACTCTTAAACTTGACCATAAAATGAAAAGTTATTTCGTTTCCACAAAATTGTTAAACCAACAACATGGTGTTGATTTGTATTTGATTGGGAGTCTAAATTAATGATTACATAAATTTATAATAGTGGGATATATTTCCTATGAGATTTTAATGATCACATAAATTTATAATAGTGGGATATAATTCCTATGAGATTTCATTAGCAGATGAAAGTATAAATATACAATAAGGTGAGTCAATCACAAAGAGGGTCGAGAATACAACACCAATACATAGAGGGCTAGACTATAAAAACACAGTGATTGACGTGTTGTAGAGCATTTGCCCCAATTAGCATCAGAGTAAGTTGTGGGAGTAGATGCAGACGAGGTTGTAGCCCGTGATCTAGGGTGTCACGAAGGTAGCGCAAAATGCATTTGAGAGGCTAGAAGTGGGACTCTCGAGGGTCGTGCATATAGAGGCATATATGTTGAACTGTAAAGGAGATATTTGGTCGAGTGGATGTCAAATATTGTAATGCCCATGCAAGATTGCGGTACGTGGATGGATAAAAAACAGGGTCACTATGAGCACTAAGCTTGAAGGCTGGATCGACAGGGGTGCGACATGGGTTGCAGTTTAACATATGAGCATGTTGGATAAGATTTGTGGCATACATCTTTTGAGAGAGAAACGTGTATGTAGGTGATCGAGAGACAGATATCCCAAGAAGTAGTTCAACGAGCCCAGATCGGTCATGGCAAACTCAGGGGTGAGGGAGTCTATGAGTTGACAAATAAGATGAAAGGATGATGATGTAAGGATAATCCAACAGGCTCCCACTTGGATAAGTCTAATAACTATAAATGCAATACGACTTCAAAATCCGATTAGCAATCGTAGCTCTCAAAAGCCGGTGTCGAACTCTGACACGTCCTAAAGATATGGGATCATGTAGTCCTCTATTCTCAAGATATCGTGCAGACAAATACATGGAATATAGCCATACTTATTGTCCAACAGTTTGTTTCCTGATTTCTGATTTATCTGACGTAGAACTTAATTGAACACATCAACTTAGTCCTGACCGGGCCCGACACATAAGTCAACACAAAATCATCGAGGGTCCCAAGATATCGCTTTTAACCTCTTAGGACAAAAGGAACAGATAAACTTTGACTTATATGATTGTACTATTTACTCACTGAGTCGTACACAACAATACGTTTTATAACATCAAGTTACTAATGCGTTTACGCATTATCAATGCACAACCAACTTGTAAACAACAACTCATATATCTCGGTTTAACGACTATACGATATTATCGTCTCATAATCACTCGTGATGAATTCCATGAAGTGATTCATGCGAGCGCGAGTTTTATCCAATACTCAAATCTTATTTCAGGAGCACTCATGAACCTTGCAAAAAATCTTTGTTATGTCTAAACTCTTAGACAATATACAAGCCAATTCATGACAGTATTGCCTCAATACGTACTTCCAAAGTATGATCGACGGTTGATAGTTCGAATAATCATATTATTCCGGAAGTCAAAACATACAAAATGAAACAATAGTAAACAATTGACACAAGACAGTAACATTACTCATAAATAAAACTCCTTTATTTAATCATCAAATGTCAATTACATTTTATGTATTACAAGTTTCTAAACAACTATCTAATCACTAAAACTAATATAGTCATTCAGCCCAATGCTCCTGGCATGCTGCAAGTGTTTAACCTTACTTAGTTTCTTCATAAGGGGATCTGTTGGGTTATCTTCTGATGATACCCTCTTTACTACGAGGAGTCCATCTTCTACTCGATGTCTTATGAAGTGATATTTTATGTCGATGTGCCTAGACCTACCATGATCCCTCGGTTCCTTGGTTAAGGTGATCACACCCTCGTTGTCACGTAAAATTTCATAGGCTCCTTTATGGTCGGTACAACTGTAAGGTCTCCAATGAAGTTCTTAAGCCATAGTGACTCCTTCGACGCTTCACTCACTGTTATGTACTCTGCTTCGCATGTTGAATCAGCTACGGTCTCCTGCTTGGAACTTTTCAACGTTATTGCTCCTCCATTCATGGTAAATATCCAGCCCGACTGACAGTGGAAATTATATTTGTCGGTCTGAAAGTTGGCGTCACTATACCCTCGCACTCTTAAGTCATCGCTCCCACAGAGGGTAGGAACCCAATCACTAGTCATCTGCAGGTACTTAAGAATGTTCTTTACCGCAGTCCAGTGAGCTCTACTAGGGTATCCTTGATATCTGTTGATCATGCTCAAAGTGAAGGCCACATCAGAGCGAGTACACATCATATCATACATGATCGAGCCAACGGCGGAAGCATATGGTACTCGACTCATTTCTGCTATCTCAACATCAATACTCAGACTCTCAACTTACTCAGTTTGGTATTGCTTTGGATTGGTAACTCCCATTTCCTGGAATTCACTATGCTAAAATGTTTCAACACTTTATCCAAGTAGGTACTTTGACTGATTCATATTAGTCTTTTACTCCTATTTCTCAACATCCTTATCCTTAGAGTATAAGCAATTTCTCTGAGGTCCTTCATAGAGAATCACTTCCTAGGCTATTAATTAACCTCCTGCAAGGTTGGGATGTGGTTTCCTATGAGCAGTATGCTATCCACAAACAAAACGAGAAAGCTAACTATACTCCCACTGGATTTGACATATACACATGACTCATCCTTGCTTCTTAAATTCCAAACTCTTTGACTTTCTCATCGAAACAAAGATTCCATATGTGAGATGCTTGTTTCAATCCATCTCGGTCTTCTTCTTGAAGATCCATTTGCACCCGACCGTCTTATGGCCTGAGACATTGTCAACCAAGTTCCAAACTTGATTGTCATACATGGACTGAATTTTGCTGTCCATAGCTTCTTTTCACTTTGCAGACTTTGGGCCTACCATGGCTTCCTTGTGGTTGTTAGGTTTATCCAAATTTATTAGTGTACTATCACTGATAAATGTATCGCCCTCAACAGTTATATGGAAACCATATAATACGGATGGAACACTAACTCTACTGGAATGTATAAGAGGTAAGGACTCGTCATTTGGTTCAACAGGAGTTTCCTCATCTGGTTGAGTGTCAGTGTTAGAGGTTCCTTCATTGCTTGATCCTTGAAGCTCTTGAAGATGAATTTGTCTCCCACTGTCCTATTGGCATATGAGTTATCTCTCTCGGAAAATCCTTCTCCTCGCAACGAAGACAACATTGTCACTCGATCTATATAAGAGATATCCAAAGGAATTTTACGGGTAGCCGATGAAAATACATCGCTCACTACGAGGTTTAAGATTGTCGTGAGCCTCTCATCTTACGAAAGCCTCACAACCCCAAACCTTGATATGTGCCAACGAGGGAACCTTCCATGTCCACATCTCGTGAGGTGTTTTGGCAGCCTTCTTAGTTGGGACTAGATTAAGGATATGGGCAACAATCTCTAAGGCATACCCCCAAAATGAGATGGGTAATGTAGCTCGACCCATCATGGAATGAACCATGTCCAACAAGGTTCGATTGCGCCTCTCAGCCACACCATTCAAATGCGGTGTCCTAGGCGGCGTCAATTGCGAAACAATTCTACATTCCTTGAGATAGTCGTGGAAATCGATACTAAGATACTCACCACCTCGATTGGATCAGAGCATCTTTATCTTTCTGTTTAGCTGATTCTCCACTTCTTTCTTAAACTCCTTGAACTTTTCAAAGGTTTCTGAATTGTGCTTGATGAAGTAGATATACCCATATTTGCTATAATCATCGGTAAACGTCATATAAAAGCGGTTTGCATCCCTTGTGGTGGATCTAAATGGCCCACATACATCCGTATGTATGAGATCTAACAAACCCTCACCCCTTTTCACAAATGCTAGTGGATGGTGTCTTGGTAATCTTTCCAGGCAAACAATACCTAAGGTCAAACGACTCCAAGACTCCATCCTTTTAGAGTTAGACTATGCGCTTCTTGTTGACATGTCTAGGACAACAATGCCACAAGCATGCTTTGTCCAAACCTTTGGACGAATCGATATGCAACACATTATTTCCTAAGTTGTCTACAACCATCACAATTTCATATATACCATTACAAGACAATGCTTCAAAATAGAAAGTACCATTCAAGAAAGCATCAATAGAACCAATTTCATTGTTAAATGAAAATCTAATGCCTTGTTTACACAAACCATGAAAAGAAATAATGTTTTGTGTCATTTCTGACGAGTAGCAACAATTATTCAACTCTAAACCTAACCCACTACTAAGCACTAAAGAGTAAACTCCAATCTTGGTGAGAGATGACACTTTCCTATTCTCCACGGTCAAGTTCATCTTTTCATGCTTCACATCCCTACTTCTTATTAGACACTGCAAATCAGAACAAATTTGAAACCACATCCTGTATTAAGGACCCAAGAAATAGCATGTGATGAGTTATTAGATTGAATAGTATAAATACTTGCGAAGGTGGGGTTTATCTTCCCATCCTTGATGTCGTGAAAATAGTTTGGGCACCTTCGTTTTTATTTCCCTTTGTCATGACAATGGAAGCACTCTGCATACTTCAGATTGGAAGAGGGAGCAGCA